AGTTGTTGAATGAATGAGTGAGTGAATTACTGACCCAGCACTGGGACATAAGCACATCAGTCCTGTTACCCACTTGAGCATGAAGGGGAGCATGCCTGTTGGTGGTAGAATCGTGATAGAATCAGAGGCGAATTTATCTGGAGAACCCCAGCACCCTGATACCATACCACTGGTGGTTTTCAAACTTGTGACTATGACCCTCAGCAAGCAATGTATTTTACAGGGCAAGTCAGGACACACGTTCACATGTACAGTATGGAAACAAATGTGTGTGCTCAAGAATACTTCCCACGCATGATGCACTCTGATATTTACTCTGTGGTTGCTTAATATTCTGTATTCAAAAATGAAATGCTTGCAACCCTGTGAATGACTTGAAGCCCCCATCACGAGGCATGATTGGCGGCGGGGAATGCTGCCAGGCAGCACAGTCGCTGAGGTTGAAAGCCGAGTGCTATCCCTACCAGCAGGGTGACTCCTTAATGCACGACCCTACCCTGCAGCTCGTGTTTCCTGAATCTGTAAAACGCACACACAGTAGCTACGAGCTCGCCGGGAAAGTTAGGAAAACGACGTCATGACTTTTCCGGCAAGCTCGTTGCTACTGCGTGGGCCGGAGGGTGGATGGAACAGAGCGGATGCGTGGACCTCGGCACCGGGGCTCTCCGGGCTTTAGGCGCGACAGAGGTGGGGTCAGACCTCAGTGTGGAGTTACTCTCCCCCTGGGACCCAGCGACTCTTCCCCTCTTGGCAGCCAGACTGGGAGGACAAGGAGGGTAACGCAGAAAAGGAAAATGCTTCTGAATTTCAAGTCAAAGCTTTCGATTGGAAAAATCCGGAATGTGGGGCCACAGGTGGCGTGGTGGTTATGATGCAGGACTCCCACCTGGCTGACGGAGGTATGAGCCCCGAACCCGGCAGCTTGAAAGTCACATGGGGTGTGTGTGCTTGCATGCCAAAACCCTTTCCCTTTCTCTGTCTCTCTCCTGCCAGCGTGCATGCCCGATGGCAAAACAGAACAAAACAAAACAGAATCCAGAAGTTTGAACATCAAAAGTCAGCTTTGAAAGACTCAGAACACAAAGTTCGAGTTCGAGCCCGAGTGAGGACTGCCTGGAAGAGATGCAGAGCTGCCCACGGGGCCCTACCCCGCGAGACGCGGTCTGCGAGGAAACTCAGCTCTGGCTGCCAAAGCCGCCGCTGCTGAAACCGCACTTCTTACCCTTCCCTCCGTTTCCTGAGGGCCTCGAACGGCCCGGCAAGGATTCAGACCCTTGTCTGTTTCTCCTCTTCCTCTTCTCCTCTTCCTCCTTCTTCTTTTCTTCTTTTTGTCCTTCTTTTTAATTGCCAGAGGACACGTGTGCTTGCCAGAGAGAGGGAGAGGCACCCCCACGGTCACGCTGCCATCCTTCCCCCGTCTCTCCTAAGCTGCCGATCTTCTGGAAACACATGCCACACATACCTGGCCGTCTCTCGAGCCACTGGGACCAGGACTCGAACGAACTGTGGCCAGTCGCCTGGCCCCCTGGTGGCTGTTTTGGTTTCTGTCCCAGAGGAAGACCGGTTGCTCAGGCACCGAAGGCTAATCGACCTCAGGGCTCTGGTCTGCCTGGGGAAGGGCCAAGAAAAAGAGGACAAGCCAGAACCGGGGAAGCAGGGTGACCCTGCCACCACCCCTCCTGTCCAAGGCACAGAGAGCTCCGTGACCCCTGAGGCCCTGGCTTTGTGGGCGGAAGGACGGCAACTGACTGAGGACCAGGAACGGCAGACTGCAGAAGAGGGGACAGTTTCTAGCCCCCACTCCTCTCCTGCAGCATCTCAGGGGAAGGGTTTCCCACCTCGGCTGGCTCCTCCAGACTCTGAGCAGAAGCCCAGGCAGGAAGGTTTCCTGAGCTCTAACCCTCTCCTTCAGGGCCTGTTCCCCCTCACCCTCAGGGGGAAGAAAAAGTGCCCAAGTTCCATGACTGCCGAGACTAGGAAGGCAGGCTCCTGTATACCAGAAATCCCTCGGTGGCTCCCCAACCCCTCCCAGCCCATGCCTTGGGGACCAGGCTGCTCAGGGGGCTGTGGTTTAAATGTTCGGCCTGCACCTGTGCCCTCTTCCGGGCGAGCTGGGAGCGGAGGCCTTGGGAAGTCGGAGCACGGGGCGTCACCCGACCAAGGCCTCCGAGGTCTCCGCGGATTTTCTCTGAGCCGGCACTGACCACAGGAGCTCACTTCTCCCTCCTGTGGAGAGGAAGGGCGGGGAATGGGAGAGACCATCCCGACCTCAGGCTTCCTGCCCAGGGCCAACACACCCACCTGTCAGTTTTCCTATACAGATGAATAGTGGCTCACCCCTGGTTGGTTGTTATGACGACCACCCCCCAGTGCTTTGTGATCCGGAAATGGAATCCATCAGAAAGCTTTTCAGGGAGCTCTTCTCAAACAGATTGAGCCAGGAAATGGTCAGAGACCCCAGCAGCTCAGTGGCCTTGGCCTCGTTTCCCGGAGAGCGGGGCAGTCAGCCTGCTGAGAGACGCAGAAGCCACTGCGGGAAAGAGCGGGCTTTCAGTAAGGAGGCTCCATAGACCCACACACGGCTCCTGGCACTGCAGTTAACACAGAGCCTTCCAGAAATGTCAAAGGCAGTGAGGTTTTACTTCGCTCCTCTCCCAGTGTCTTGGGCTTCCTTCTTCAAATCGAGCTTACCCAGCTCCGCCCTTGGGACAGATGCCACAGTTGTGAGAACAAACAGCTCAAAAGCAGACGCTCGGGCCCAGGCAGGGGCACAGCAGCAACACAGCCAGACCCACAGAGGAGAGGTCCTGGGTTCATGTCCTGAGACGTCCCTGAGTAAGCCAGGCCTGCACGTGTGCCTGTGAGAAGGTCAGTTTGTCTGGAGGTAGACCACAGTGTGGATACCCTGCTGCGAGTGTCTGTCTCCCGCTTTCTCTCCTCTGTCTCTCATGGAATAAAGAAATACATAATGTTTAAAAGGTTTCTGCCATAGGGCACATGATCTCGCCAGAGAGAGAGATGGTGAGAGGGAAAGTGAGCAATCACTCCCTGGGAGGATAACCATTCTGCAATCCCTTCTCTACTCTCCTCCTGGGATTTTGGACATACATGCACAGGTGTCTGGTATGATTTTCAAACCATTTGGTCCAGGACTCTTAACTGCAGTGCGCCATGTGGGAGTCCCGCGCCTCAACCACCACACCCCCTGTCGGCCCTATAATTTGATTTTTCTTTTTTAAAACAGAAAGTCAGGCAGGCTCCATAGCCTATTGGTTAAGGGAACCAGATCCCTCACGACTGACGTTGGTTTGAATCCTGGCCCCCATGGCTTGAAAAACACACCAGATGCTCGGACCCGTGTGCCCATGTCCTGAGCGGGTACAGAAATGGAGAGGAGGTTGTGGCGTGACCACACTGGGTGCTTGCTCCTCCCTTGCTATACCTCAGTCTCTCTGCGAGTGAGTGCGTGTGACCTCTGACAATCGAAAGCAAATCTAGGAGTCCCTAGGCCAGAGGCCTCCCAGAAGAACTCGAGGAGGAGCCTCCCCAAGCAGGCAAGATGGTGAGTAACTTTCCTGTTTTATAACAAGACTCTAGGGCCCAGCTGCAAAAGAAAGTTTCCTATTCTACATGCGTTCCTTTTATACTAAAAAAAGGACATATTTTTCTCAATTACATGAGTAACTCAGATCTACAGTAGAAAAATTAGAAAATAGAGAAAAACACGAGAAGTAAAGCCCGCGTAGTCCCGTGCCCACCTCAAATCCCTACCACTGGAATTGGGCGTCTGGGCGTGGTCCTCCCTGGTCCCATTCTGGAAGTAACGGCCTTGTTGACTCCCAGCATCACCGAGGCCCTGCCCTATTTTTGTCTCCCTCTGCCCTTTATCTATGTTTTATTATTTATTTATTAGATTTTTGCCATAGGGTAGGGCACACGTGCTCACTGGAGAGAGAGAGAAAGTGAGAAGTCACCCACCGGGGCCATGCCACAATCCCTTCTCCCCCATTATCCTCTCAGCGTTTGGGCACACACATATACACACACACGCGCGCGTGCACGCACACAGCATGATTTTCAATCCTTCAGATCCAGGGCTCAAACCACAGAGCTGGTTAAGTGGGCCACAGTCACCTTAGCCTCCATGCCACCTGCTGCCCTCCCTCTGCCCTGTAACCTGTCAAGGGGAGGAGGTTCATCTTTCTGCAGCCCTGCATGAGAACGGTGCAAATGCTACACTTTATGGCTCCTTCTCTTAGGCAGTAGCTCCATGGCCACTCGAGGTTGCAAACACAGTCTTCATTTGCTCTTTAGCATATCACTCTGTGGGAGATAAAAAATATGCCACTTCCAAATATGCGTCTTTTGGCACAAGCGTGGCTCACAGCAGCAACACAGCCAGACCCACAGAGGAGAGGTCCTGGGTTCATGTCCTGAGACGTCCCTGAGTAAGCCAGGCCTGCCCGTGTGCCTGTGAGAAGGTCAGTTTGGCTGGAGGTAGACCACAGTGTGGATACCCTGCTGCGAGTGTCTGTCTCCCGCTTTCTCTCCTCTGTCTCTCATGGAATAAAGAAATACATAATGTTTAAAAGGTTTCTGCCATAGGGCACATGATCTCGCCAGAGAGAGAGATGGTGAGAGGGAAAGTGAGCAATCACTCCCTGGGAGGATAACCATTCTGCAATCCCTTCTCTACTCTCCTCCTGGGATTTTGGACATACATGCACAGGTGTCTGGTATGATTTTCAAACCATTTGGTCCAGGACTCTTAACTGCAGTGCGCCATGTGGGAGTCCCGCGCCTCAACCACCACACCCCCTGTCGGCCCTATAATTTGATTTTTCTTTTTTAAAACAGAAAGTCAGGCAGGCTCCATAGCCTATTGGTTAAGGGAACCAGATCCCTCACGACTGACGTTGGTTTGAATCCTGGCCCCCATGGCTTGAAAAACACACCCGATGCTCGGACCCGTGTGCCCATGTCCTGAGCGGGTACAGAAATGGAGAGGAGGTTGTGGCGTGACCACACTGGGTGCTTGCTCCTCCCTTGCTATACCTCAGTCTCTCTGCGAGTGAGTGCGTGTGACCTCTGACAATCGAAAGCAAATCTAGGAGTCCCTAGGCCAGAGGCCTCCCAGAAGAACTCGAGGAGGAGCCTCCCCAAGCAGGCAAGATGGTGAGTAACTTTCCTGTTTTATAACAAGACTCTAGGGCCCAGCTGCAAAAGAAAGTTTCCTATTCTACATGCGTTCCTTTTATACTAAAAAAAGGACATATTTTTCTCAATTACATGAGTAACTCAGATCTACAGTAGAAAAATTAGAAAATAGAGAAAAACACGAGAAGTAAAGCCCGCGTAGTCCCGTGCCCACCTCAAATCCCTACCACTGGAATTGGGCGTCTGGGCGTGGTCCTCCCTGGTCCCATTCTGGAAGTAACGGCCTTGTTGACTCCCAGCATCACCGAGGCCCTGCCCTATTTTTGTCTCCCTCTGCCCTTTATCTATGTTTTATTATTTATTTATTAGATTTTTGCCATAGGGTAGGGCACACGTGCTCACTGGAGAGAGAGAGAAAGTGAGAAGTCACCCACCGGGGCCATGCCACAATCCCTTCTCCCCCATTATCCTCTCAGCGTTTGGGCACACACATATACACACACACGCGCGCGTGCACGCACACAGCATGATTTTCAATCCTTCAGATCCAGGGCTCAAACCACAGAGCTGGTTAAGTGGGCCACAGTCACCTTAGCCTCCATGCCACCTGCTGCCCTCCCTCTGCCCTGTAACCTGTCAAGGGGAGGAGGTTCATCTTTCTGCAGCCCTGCATGAGAACGGTGCAAATGCTACACTTTATGGCTCCTTCTCTTAGGCAGTAGCTCCATGGCCACTCGAGGTTGCAAACACAGTCTTCATTTGCTCTTTAGCATATCACTCTGTGGGAGATAAAAAATATGCCACTTCCAAATATGCGTCTTTTGGCACAAGCGTGGCTGAACTGGAGGCACTTAGGCAGCAGCAGATGCATGGGCCAGCCAGTGGTGTGGCAGTTACGGGGCTGGATCCCACATGGCCAACCGAGTGGTCTGAATCCCAGGCAGCTTGAAAAACGCGGCATGCATGTGTGTGTGTGTGTGTGCAGGGGACACATTTCTGGGCCCCACTTAGGGTTCCCATGAATTCCCATGATGCTTGGAGTAGGCAGGACGGACCCCTGCCCTTCCTCCATAAGAGGGGTGGGTGGGCCTCGCAGCAGGGAGCAGCCCTCTCCTAAACCAGCTGCTCGCAGTCTCTTCCCCGCTGTGCTCCTGGGCATTCCCCACCAGAGTCTCCCCTTCGAGTCTGACGATTACTCCTTAGGAAACAATATGTGAGTCATAGGTGGCGGCTCTCTAGGACAAGGGAAGACTGGGTGACTCTGGGACTTGGGGAGCAGTCTGGGTCTTTCCCCCCTGGTTGCACCTGAAGAGAAACCCCTTGTCCTCCCAGCTCTGAATCATCCCGGCTGCCAGCCCTGTCTAGTCCAATCGCAGCTCAGAACCTGGCTGGAGACCACAAACGACGCACTAGCAGAGACCGCAGATCTGTCCGAATCTACACATAGATTTCCAGGACAGGTAGACTCCCAGCTTCTCCCTGAGGAGGGTGGGGTGGTTCTTGATTTTGTTACCCAGATGTTGAGCCAGTGGTGCTGGTTTTGGGGGGTCCCGGCTTTGGGATGGCCTTGGATGGGAATTTAACGTTGAAGTTGCTGCATGGGAGCGGCCATGCCTCACCTGCACGTACTGGGAATTCCTTACAGAAGTTCGCGTGGCAGACCCAAACATTCCTTCTAAGGAACAGGGAAGCAAGCAAACCTATGATTCCTTGCCCTCCATGTTTCGGAGCCAGTGACGGGTAAGATAAACTCCGTCCACCCCACCTCCCTCAGTTCCCTCTTCCCTGCTAGGGCTGATTTTGCATCCCTCTTCTGGGGCCGGGCTGGTCAGCCTAATGAGCCTCGCCGATTTGCCATCAGATAAATGGTACACCATTAGCTGCCTGTTTAACGACCATGTTTCTTCCTCTCAATGAGGGCTCAATATCTCTCACATGAAATATGGCTCAAAGAGCCCCCAGTTCTGGACTTGAAGTACCGAGCAATTACTCAGCAGCGACTCGGGAGCCGTGGCAGCCTGGTGACAGCTTACTCCTCTGTTTCCTCTGGCTGACTGGAGATCGGAAGCGGGCAGGCTCCATGTTAGGAGATTGATGCCTTCTCCCAGCGCCTTTTTGTCTGTCTGCGAAGTTCCCCATGCCAGCCTCATCGTTCTACGCTGACTTCTAGAGTAAGGGGTCTCAGTGCATCTACTTTTGAGCCCAGGTGGTCTGCAGGTTGGACCTCTGGAGGCAGGAGGCTCACCTGGCCAGACCAAGGTGCTATTGCCCTGGACCCCCCATGAGGTCATGCTTTAGTGGAGAGGTGGTCAATGGAGCTGGACCAGCTACTCTTTGGGGCTGCCTCTCAAGTCATAAACCCAATTTAAGTAGGCTCTTCTCAGGCCCCAAAGCAGGTGTCCCCTCATCCATCCCTCTAGAGAGTCTAGAGAATAAGGGGCCACTCTGCCCCCACGTATTCCTCCATGATCATTCAGACCTCTCCCTCTTGCTGGTCTGGCCCTACCCTCCTGCTTCTTCTGTAAGGGTCCTCTGAAGGTAACCTAAGAATTGGTCCGGAAGCAGCCACACCCCTGAGCCCTGGCAGAAGCAACTATGAAGCTGCTCCACAGGATGTTTTTACACAGGGGCAGTTACTGGCCAACTAAGTCCGGCTGCTTCGTCTCGGTCAGTGACAGGGAAGGCAGAGGCTGGAGAGGGAGGGATTTACTCCTGGAGCCAGTTTCAGGGAGGCAGTCGGCAGACACCATCAAACTGTCTCAAAAAGTGCAACATAAGGCCAGCAGGTGGCATGGTGATTAAAGCACTGAACTCCCACATGGTGATTGCAGTTCAAGTCCTGGACTTGGCAGCTTGAAAATCATGTTGGGTGCATGTGTGTGTGTGCTCAAAATCCTGAGAGGAGAGTGGAGAAGGGATTGTGGTGTGTCTATCCCCCTCCCCCTGTGGTAATTTCTCACTTTCACTCTCTATCTCTGGTAAGCACACACAAAAACGTTAAAAAAAAATTTTTTTTTAAAGTAAGTGCAACATGTTCTTGCTATTTATATTAGGTTGTTGGGAAGATCATGATGCATTTTTAAATAGAAAAACATGTCACGACCTAGTATAAGATACCAGCAGGTGCAAATCATTCCTCACCACGGTCCATCAGAGCCACTCGCTTCCCCTGAGTAATAATTATCCTAATTCCTTCAAATACCCTCTCCTGGTTTCTCATCTGACCATTCCTCAAACAGCCGTCCCTATGACTCAGCACTCGGTAAGACTGTTCTTATTAGAGGCCTTTCTTAATTTCAGAATGGCTGCAGTCCTACTGGCTTGCTTTGGGATGAGCCCCCAACAAAGACAGTGCAAAAGACATGCATAAACGCACCACCATGCAAGAGAGACATTAGAGTAACAATAACTAGCTCCCCAATAACCAGAATTAATGGAACACCTGAACATGTCTTTAAAGTGCATTTCAAATGGTATGGGAAGTAAAAGAAGGAATCAGAGTCATAAAGGAATTTTTTTTTGAGAGATTTTTCTATAGGGCGCGTGTGCTCGCCAGACAGGCAGAGAGAGACATAGAGACAGAAAGCGAGAAATCACCCCCAGGGGGGATGGTCACGCCGCAATCCCTTCTCCTCCATTCCCCTCTTGGGATCTTGGGCACGCATGCACACGCGCCCCGGCGTGAGTTTAAGCCACCGGGTCCGAGACTCGAACCATGGTCGACTACGTGGGAGTCCAGCGACATAGCCATTATGCTAACTGCTGGTTCCCCATAAAGGAATGTTTTGAGACGAAAGTAAAGAGATCTGAAAAATAATCATATAGACCTAGAAGTAAAAAAAATAAATAAAACCTATCTCTTCCTTGACATTATAAATAAAATTTGTGAGACACAGAGTTGAGAACATCAAAGAAAGAATTAAGAGAATTAGAAGATAAATAGAAGAAAGTCATCCAAAATGCAGTACAGAGATATCATAAGATGAAAAATATGATCATATAAAAGCACAATAAATAAATATGGAATTAATAGGTTGAACACATATTTTATAGATCTAAAAGAAAAGAATAATGACAATGGGAGAAAGGCAAATTCAAATGCAAATGACAGGATTTTTGTTTTATATTTGAAGAAATGAGTCAAAGGAGTGAAATATCCCAGGGTTAATAAGAAATACACATCTAAGCACACTGCAGAGGAAATAGAGAACAGCAAAGACATACAGATCTTTATTTATTTAGCTATTGGGCATGTGTGCTCTCTGGAAAGACAGAGACAGAGAGACAGAAAGTAAGAAATCACCCCCAGGGGCGATGGCCATGCCACAATCTGTTCCCCTCCATTCTCCTCTTGGGACCTTGGGAATGCACACACATGTCCCCAGCACGAGTTTTAAGTCACTGGATCTGTGACTCGAATGCAGTTAACTATGTGGGAGTGCAATGATGTAACCATTATGCTATCTGATGGTTTTGACATAGCGATCTTAAGAGCCACCAGAAATAAGACTAGCTACCTAAGTAGAAAGAACAATCCAATGGCAGAATTCTCAGCATTACCAGAAGATGCCAGAAGACAGTGCTAAAGTGCTAAGGGAATGTGTCTGTTAACCTGAAATTCTATGCCCAGCTAAACTACCATCCAAATGTAAGGGTTGTAAAGGAGGATACTTTCAGAGACAGAGTTTACTACTCATGGATCCTCATTAAAAGAGTTATTAAGAGGTTTTCTTCAGTTGGAGTGGAAATTAAATTCAGAAGGAATTAAATAATAATCAACCTAATAAGTATTGCTATAAGCAATATTAATAATGATGCTGATGAATGCAAGGGATCTAAAAAAAAGTGAAATTAAATGCTAGCCAATGATATCATGCAAGAAGGAGAAGAAAGAAGAGGGAGACATAATAAATAGAATAACAGACACATGTTCAATTTATCAGTTAAGTCCAAATATAAGAGCAACTACAATAGTAAACATATTAAACTTGTGTGTTAATTGTCAGAGACTAACCAATGGATGAAACAAAAATATATCCACACAAAAGCTTTAAGAAATGGGGCCAGTAAGTGGTATGGTGGTTAGGGTGCTGGACCCCTACATGGCTGAGTGCAGTTTGAGTCCCAGACCCAGCAGCTTGAAAATCACATCATGCACGCGTGTGTGTCACCAAAATTCCAAGAGGAGAATGGAGAAGAAGGAATTGTGGCATGGCCATCCCCCATGGGGGATGAGTTCTTCTCGCTGTCTCTCCCTGTCTCTCTCCAGAGAGCACAAGCACACTATGGCAATAAACATTAAAAAACAACAACAAAGTCTTCAGCGGACTGGCTCCATGGCCTGGAGGTTGAGGCACCTGGACCCCTCATGGCCAGACTGAGCACTGGACCCAGAGGCTTGGGAAACACGTCAGGCATGTGGGCTTGGATACCCAAAATCCTGACAGGAGCTGGGGATGGAGAAGGGATTGTGGCAGGACTGTTCTCCATAGGGGTGATTTTCTCACTTGCCCCCTGTCTTTCCCCAGCAAGTGCAGGTACCCACTGGCAAAACTAAAATTTTTAAAAATAAAAAAGAATAAATCAAAAAGAAAAGAATAAATCTACCTTTTCTCCTGGGGGCAATGATGGGGGAGGCCAGAGACCAAGGCCAGGAGACTCGGGCATGCCCAGGGATGCCCAGGAGAAGGTGCGCCAGCATGCGCGTGGAGGTGAACACGCACACGGGTGGTTTCCGGAAACTAGAAACGCGGGTGACCCTGCTACCCACCAGCAAGGGCTCCCTCCCTCAGGCTTTACCTCCCTGGGAACGCCACTCTGTCTGGAGCCACGGGAGAAAAGGGTAGAATGAAAGTGCCCAGACCAAGAATTTATTTTTGTCCTTACCTAACTTTTAGCACAGGGCCTGCCGAGCCCGCGGGGCTCCGGCTCGTTACCTTCAGCTCTTTGTCTGATGGCAGAAAGGTTGGTGGGGGCTCGGCTGCTGGTAGACAGGCGCCTTTAATCTGGCTCAGCTCGCGGTCCTGCTCACGCTCTGCAGACACCCATCCAGGCTTGTCTCTGCCCAGCTCCCCACGTGCGCAAGTAACATCTCATTTGTCCGTGTGAACACCCACGCCTGACTACCCCTGCAGCAGCGATTCGGGACACTCAAATGCCAACCCAGCTACTAAGTTCTCCCCTGGGAGTGGCGCTCCAAGGCACGTCCTCACTGCTGCGGCTGAACATGCAGTGCAGGGTGCCAGACGGCTGCGCCACCTCCAGTGGCCACTTTGAGAGCACTGGCCTGGAGCCAGTAGATGAGTCATTTCAGGCCTTGGCTTGGGAAGAGTGCTAACCTAGTGCCCTCGGGCCCAGCTCTGTGTCCAGGGCATTTGCCCAGGGCATTTATGGCCCCTGTTATGTAACCCGCACTTGGAGGACCGCGGGCGGAGATAAAGCTGTCTCTGTCTACTGTAGCCTCTCCAGGCAACAGAAGACAGACGTCCACTGCAGAAGAAGCTGGGCTGGGGACCTAATTTGCAGTTCCCAGTGCCAAATGAAGCCCACTGGCTCCAAACCCAGCTTGCCGGAGGGGCCTGAACGCGCTTCTCACCCCGAGGACGAAATCAGAACCGCTTCAGCCTCACACATCCCCCAGGAGAGTCCCGGGAAACCAGGCCTCCAGCCAGCCTGGCAGGACAGGGCTTTGAAGTCAAAGGCCACCATGAGGATGCCCCCTTGCCTGGGCCTCCTGGATGTGTGGGTGCTTTAGTTCACCGGCTGCTGTGACAAAAATCCTATAAATGGAGCAGCTTAGAAACATGGACTGTTATTTCTCAGGGCTCTGGAGGCTGGAAAGTCCAAGATCCAGACACACTGGAGCCCACAGTGGGCTTCCAAGATGGCTCCCTCAGGCTGCCCTGTGACAAGAACATGCCAGAGGCACCCAGGAGGCCTGGGGGCTGGCAGGGATACCTCAGGCTCAGACTCTGGCTCACCACACTCCCTCACCAGCATCCCTGTGTGCAGGGGTGGGAGTGACGTTTCTTGCAGACAATGCAGGTGGACTGCATGGCCATCCTTTGCCAAAGCCCCAGGCAGGGACCCTGGCTCTCTTGCCCATTGAGGGGCCCCATATTGGGCCAGGGCCAAGTGCAGTCCCTCAGTGTGGTGCAGGAGATGCGTGGCAGTGGTTGAATGCATCATAAGTGGGAAATAATGAGAGTGAGAGAATGGGTAATATGAATAAATAACGAGTCGATGAATAATAAATGGTGTGATTTCACAAACATCTAGGACAGGACCTATTCTAAGGCACTGTTCGAAGAAGCGTGTAATTATGACTTCAGCAGATGCTGCAGTCTGCCTTGCGAAGCTGGCGCCGTTGTGGCATCTGTTGTACAGATGAGGAGACTGCAGCATGGAGACTGAGAGGCTTGTGTGAGTCCTCCAGCCCATAGGGAGAGAGAGAGGAGGAGAGGGGCGTTTTGACAACGTCTCACCATGCCTTGATCCTCCTGCGCCAGCCTCCCACTTAGCCGGGACTGCAGTGTAGGCCTCCACTCCCAGCCCGTTTTAGGTTGGGCTGGGAACTGAACCTGCTCTACCAGGTGGCCCCCAACACATCACGGCAGTGCTTGCCTGCCTGCATCTGCACTCTCTCTCTTTCTTTTTAAGTTTATTTATTTCTTCCATGAGTGAGAGAGAGGGAGAGACAGGTATCCCAACAAGGTCTGCACCCATGGCCCTCCCCAACCAGGATGACAGGCACATGGGTGCACACCCAGCGTGCACAGGAGACCTCGAGGCGCGGACCCAGGACCTCCTGGCCTGACTGCAGCATCGTGGAGGGTCGCCTTTCTGCTGAGCCACCACTGCGGGTCTCTGCACTCTTAATCACCACTCTGCACTGCCCAGGAAGCCCCAGCTTGTGTTTTTTTGGGTTTTTTTTGTTTGTTTTTGTTTGTTTGTTTGTTTGTTTGTTTTTGCTGTAGGATGCATGCAATTGCCAGAGAGAGAGAGAGACAGGGAGAGAGAGAGAGACAGAAAGCGAGAAATCATCCTCCACTAGGGATAGCCACACACAATCTCTTCTCCAGTCTCCTCTCAGGATCTTGGTCAAGCACACACATGTGCCGGGTGTGGGTTTTATGTTGCCAGGTCTGGGACTAAACCGCAGTCAACTTCGTGGGAGTTCAGTGATGTAACCATTATACCATCTGCTGGTCCCAAGTAATATTTTTAAACACACAGAATAAATTCATAGTATCACAAGAAAGCCGCTGTATTGAGAAGCAGTTATCAACATATTAGAAAACTGAATTATAATAATTGGTGATGCAGAAAGCAGTGTACTTCTTCATTAATACACTAAGTGGAGGGCCTCATAACCCCAGTAGTGTGTAATAATGGTGAGCATAAGCGATGTTTAAGCTGTCCGCAGCGGCTGGGATGGGATGTCAAGCTATCTGGGATTGTTTCCTGGTGACAAATGCGGAGATATGTATACCACTGCTATGGTTTGGTTGGAAATATTTGTAATTGAAGGAATGTTAAAGTCTAGGTTGAGATTTGTAAAAGCAAAGTACTCCATGAACTCTTTAAATTTTTTCCAAAAATCCCTGGGGCCCTTACGTGCCAGAGTCTACGCTACCATCCCTCCCCAGCACTTCAGGGACTTCCCCGGACTGTCTTCCGATGAGGGAGATGGAAGCAGGAGCAGCCTCTGCCTGTCTCTTGTGGATGTCTGCCTCCTTCAATAGAAAGCGAAATAAGGCCAGCAGGTTGCATGGTGGTGGTTAAGGTGCTGGACTCCCACATGGCCAACCATGGTTCAAGTCCCTGACATGGCATCTTGCTTTCTCACTTTCTCTCTCTCTCTTAATAATAATATTAATAAAAATAAATAACATAAATTTTTTTAAAAATTAAAGGAAGAAAAATAAGAGATAAGAAGGTGTTAAGATGGAAGATACACTAGCCATCCCGACTTCCAGATTAACGAGGTGATGGTTGCCTATTTTATCCAACCTGGCATGAGGGGCATGATCACACCTCTGCACATAAGCCAGCCTGGACACCAGGCGAAGAGACCTAGCGCCTTAGCCACCATGCTATGTGCTAGCTCCTAGACTACTTCTTTTTGATATGGTTCCGTCAGTGTTATACCTAC